ATGGTAAGGGAGAGGAGAACGGAAAGGAGGGAGTATGGGAGATGGGAAAGAGAACTAAGGTAAGAGCGAAGAAAATGAGCATTCACAGAAGGAAAGAGCGACGAGGATAAAAGATCGAACGTTTCTTGACACGAGAGACAAGGAGGGAGAGAGAAACAGAAAAAGGAGGACGCGATGTTGGTAGAAAGAGCGAATGGGACCATCGTGGAGTGAGGAAACGCGTAGAACCACGGTGTTTCTCAAAGCGGATAGAGAAGGTGATATCGATAGGCCTTGCGCGGGGTGGTCGGGTACAGCCACAGATAGAAAGAGAGAGAAAGAAGGAGAATAGAGATGCAAAGAACGAAAGAAGGATAGAAACAGGGAATGGAGGAGAGGGAGAGTCCGATGGATCGGAGAGGGACGGCGTCAGCCAGCCCGAAGAATGCCTCTCCTGGCAGCGGCGAGGTTCTGGGACCGGCTCGGTTCAGTCGAGTCAGGTCAGCCCTCGGGAGGGCGGCATTCTTCTTCGCGGTGTTCACGTTCCTCGTTCCTCGATCGGGGCCTTACGTCGCGCTCATCGCGGCCCCGGTTGCGTGTTTCGTTATTTTCTCTTCTATTCTTTATCCTTTAAAATTTGCTCCGTTAGCTCTGCTACCGATTGCCCTCCGTGTACGCGGTTTATTTTCACCCCTCGATAACGCTTACCCCAAGGCGCGCGCGCGCGCGCGCACTCGTGCTGTTCGTGAGATTGCTCTGCGATCGGCGAACCCGACCGAGCGCCGCATCGCGTGAACTTCCTGACAATTTCCGCGAAAAGATAGCGCGAGTTCAGCATTGAGTCGCGCGAACCCGAGAGTGAATCGCAAATTTGAGTCCTTTGAGGCTCGGTTATTAAACTCATTTGGATCAGTACTCTCGCAAGGATACACGTACATCGTGAAACGTGTTCTTTTCTTCTTGTGCTTCGGATGTTGGATCTTGATGTGCCCTTTTTCTGTGAAGTGTTATTTACGTTGCGAGGTTTATTACGCTTAACCCCGACTGTAGTGATAAAACCGTGGATTCTGAGAGATCTAAATGTTCTGATATATAACGATTTTGAAATTGCTGTGAAAATTCGGTATACGTTAATATTGTCGATCATTTTTTTTTCGAGAAGAATTTGTCATCTTGAGATGCGTTATGACATAGCGAAGCACGTGACATAGATGTGCGTCTGGAACGCATGAGTTGAAAAAGGAGAACAATTTCTTGAGAGAATAATTTGTTCTCTGGGAGGGAGAAAGATACATTCTCTTGATTCAAATTGCAGATTGTTAATCAAAAAATCGTCCGAAACGTTCCACTCTCGCGCTCTCGAAGCATTCGCGAGCATCCGCAGACGCGCATTTCGCGAGGCGCGGCTCTCGGCGGGTCACTGCCCCCTCTGCCGGGTGAAGTCTCCTCTCGTGTACACTTGACTTTTAGCGGCGAAAGGAAGAGAGAACGAGAGAGTGAAAGATAAGGAAAGAAAGTGAGAGAGAAAGAGAGATACAGGTACAGAGAAGAGGACGGAAAAGAAAGCACCCACCAGCTTCGGGTTTAAATCGAGATTCTGGTCCAGGTGAGAAAAAAAATGCGACGCGTCGCCGGACAGAGGACGGTAGTTCATGTTGTCGCGCGCGATTAATCTCCGTTCTTGGAGGAATGTCGCGATATTTGCAATGTGCCGGTACGTAGACGCGGAAGACGACGATAGGATTATCGCTAGTTACAACCATGAAGAAGAAGAACGACAGGTAGTGCGTAATCGGAGCGCGCGATTTTACGCCGGCGACGAGTCACCGTGAGCCGAGATTTGGCTAAGGCAGGTGGACGTGTCGCGGCGAGACAGAAGAGATGATCATAAGAGAATCGATGATCCTGACCCTGCTTCTGGGACTACTGTCGGTAGTGGACCAAAATGGCGGCCAGGTCGTCAGCCAGGAGGCGGCGGCGACGGTGGCGGCGGTAGCAGTGGCCGCACCCGACGACTATTTTACCTCGCGCAACCTACCTCAAAGGATCACGCGGTTAGTGCCACGAAGATCACCAATGTTGCCGCAGGATAGCACCGCAACGATGGCGATGCAGAGCAGAGCGGTCGATACGCGGGTCCAACTCGAGATCAAGGAGGGTGAGCCTAAGGATACTTTGGTCGGCACGATACCAGTGAAGCCAGATTTCACCTACAGATTTAACGAACCACCTCAAGAATTCGTGCTCGATCCAAAAACCGGCAAGATAAAAACAGCAAAAGTCCTTGATCGCGAAGCTCTCAGTAGCGATCGGTTCGATTTGGTAGTGCTCTCGAGTCAACCGACTTATCCAATTGAAGTGCGAATTCTAGTGCTCGACATTAACGACAACAATCCAGAATTTCCGGAGCCTAGCATCGCGGTTAGCTTTTCGGAATCAGCTGTAGCTGGTACTAAATTGTTGTTGGATGCTGCGACTGACCGAGACACGTCAGAAAACAGTGTGCTGGACGACTATTTTATCGTGAATGGTAATACTGATGGTAAATTTCGTTTGGAGGTCACTGGAAATCCCACAAGCGAAACGTCGTACCTACACCTCGAGACTACTGGCAAGCTAGATCGCGAACAAGTGGAATTCTATTCACTCAACATTTGCGCGCGTGATCGTGGTAGACCACCACGATTGGGTTATCTATTGGTAAATGTGACAGTGTTGGATGTAAACGATAATCCACCAGTATTTCAACAGAGCGATTACGTGGTGGCGTTGAACGAGAGCGCACCGGTCGGCACCAAAGTCTTGACAGTGCACGCCATCGATAAAGATTCGGAGGACAATTCCAAGTTGACATATTATCTGCCGGACAATGAGCGTAAGTTTACAATCGATCCAGAGACTGGCACAATCACGACAGCTGAGCCATTAAAATGCCCCCAAGAACGCTGCACGGTGGCACGTCCAGGCAGCGGTTGCCCCAAAAGCTGCGTCATCACAGTCTTCGCTCGCGATCATGGATCGCCCAGACAGGATGGTCGTACCTATGTGACAGTGAACTTAGTGGACGCAAACGATCACGATCCCGTGATTAAGTTTAGCTATTTTCCGACAAGTGCGGGTTTTGCTACCGTCGATGAGAATACTGCCAAGGATTCGATCGTTGCAGCTGTGACGATAATCGACGATGACGAGGGTCTGAACGGCGAAACCAGCGTGGAAATACGTGCTGGGAATGAATTGGGCCATTTTCGGCTGGAGAATACGGGCTTCAACATTGTGCGGGTCGATGGCCGACTGGATCGCGAAGAAATACCCAAGTACAATCTCACAGTGGTTGCCACCGATAAGGGCACGCCGCCTAGATCAGCAACGGCTTATCTCGTGATCCACGTAAACGACGTCAATGATCATGAACCGGTATTTCAACAAAGCGAATATTCAGCGGTACTATCAGAACTCGCGCCGATTGGCAGTTTCGTCGCCAGTATCTCGGCCACGGATGCAGATTCCGGATTGAATGCGCGGATTTATTACGAATTTGGTTCGGGTAACGAGCAAGGCTGGTTTGCCATTGATAGCGATACCGGCTTGGTCACCACCGTGGCTACTTTGGATCGCGAGGTTCAAGGTAGTATCGAGTTACATGTATCGGCGCGGGATGGTGGTCCAAATACTAAGTATGCGTCCACGCATCTCAAAGTAACTATTCTAGATGAGAATGACGAGGCGCCGCGCTTTTCTGAGAACGTCGTCGAGGTCACATTATCAGAAAACACGCCACCCTACAGTTTAGTAGCTACTCTCACGGCTGTTGATAACGATCAAGGCACCAACGGTAGCGTTGCATACAGCTTTCACTCCAGCGTCTCGCGTGATTATCCCAAAACCTTTGCTCTGGACGCTCTGACCGGTCAGCTAACGACCATGGTCGCCTTGGATCGAGAGACCATAGCGAACTACAGGATTTTAGTGATAGCAAAGGATCAAGGAACACCAGTGCAATCTTCGACTGCTACCGTGATGTTAACGTTAGCAGATATCAACGATAATTCGCCGATTTTTTATCCTTGGAGGTATCTGATGCCTATCTCTGAAGATGCTCCGACAGGTATGACGGTAGGTAAAGTAACGGCAACCGACGCTGATGCTCGAGAGAACGCTCAGGTGATATACACTCTGGAATCCGGTGGCGAGGGTCTTTTCGCAATGGATGAGAGAACTGGCGAGATTATTCTACGAGGTTCTTTACGGGCCGCGCATAAGACTCTTTATGAGTTAACCATTTCAGCGAGGGACACTGGTGAACGGGTAGCAGCCAGGAGCGCCGTAGTCGAAATTATACGCGAAGAGGACATGGAGCGCCTTGATTTTGATACTTACAATGGTTATGAGTTCCGCGTTCTTGAAGATCGTGGTGATTGTGATTCTGTTCCGTCTGGCGGTCGGGAAGTTGGTTCAGTGCAAGTTACGCAATACGGTAATACGGGCAAAATAAACTACGCCATCGTGTTCGGTGATCCTGAGAGCAACTTTAGAATCGACGAGAATACCGGCGTCATCAGCATCGCCGGCTGTCTGGATCGCGAGCGTATCGCTTATTACAGCCTGCAACTATCAGCGCGCGCTGATTTCGCGTACGGCCAGACAACTGTCAATATCACTGTGCAGGACGTCAACGATAACCCGCCGAAATTTCCCAGAGGTGAACGGGGCGACGAGATTCTTTTACGGGAAAACGCGGCAGTCGGGCAAGAGGTATGCTTGGCTCGAGCTAGAGATCGTGACACCGGCACCAATGCCGTGATTGTTTATTCCCTGACGCACAATCCAGGTGGGCAGTTTAGAGTTGCTGAGAACACGGGAATCATTTACTTGGATAAGCCGATTCGTGCGCCGTCCGGCACAGTTCTTCATCTCGAAGTGACGGCGACTGATTCTGGTAGACAACCGTTATCCGCTCAGCATCAAATCCGTGTGACAATTGAAGATGTCAATGATCATACACCTGTTTTCCGGCTGACTAGTTACGAGATTTCCCTGCCGGAATCTATGCCGGTGAACGAGCGTTTCTTTTCATTAACGGCTCAAGATGTAGACCTCGGCGCGAATGGCAGGATATTATATAGTGTCACCGATGGCAATGTAGAGGGTCGCTTCGGCATTTTTCCGGATGGTCAGCTGTATGTAAAGAACGCGCTCGACCGCGAGGAACGGGATTATTACGCGCTTGAGGTTACCGCGTCCGATCAGGGCAGTCCATCGCGGAGCTCCGTGGTTCCGGTGGTGGTGCACGTGATTGACGAAAATGACAACGCACCTGAGTTTACAAACAATAGTTTCACCTTCCATCTGCGTGAGAATGAACCGCCTGATACCTTCGTTGGCAAGCTGTTGGCTACTGATCGCGACGTTGGTCGTAACGCAGATCTCATGTTCTCGCTGCCGATCAGTCAGCAAGACTTTGTGGTTGATCCAAGGAATGGCTTCGTTAGATCGCTACGTGTATTTGATCGCGAACTCCTGGTGACCAATACCGGTGGCAGCTACATCAACCTGGAAGCCACAGTCACCGATAATGGCATTAATCGCTTGCGTGATCGAGTCAAAGTTACCATCTACATCATCGATGTTAACGATAATGTGCCGCAATTCCAACGTCTGCCCTATCGGGTACAGGTGAGCGAAGGTGCCGCAATTGGCACACAATTGTTGAGAGTATACACGACCGACGCGGATGAAGGGTTGAATGGTGATGTATTCTACTCGCTGGAGGATGGTAATCAGCATGGCCATTTTACGATAGACGAAGCCACCGGACAGATTTCGCTAGTAAAAGAGCTCGATCGCGAGACGTCCGACATCTATGTACTTACCGTCGTAGCGCATGATGCTGGTCTTGAGACGCGATTGTCGTCTAGTGCAACTGTTTATATCGAGGTGCTTGATGAGAATGACAACGTACCGCGCTTTGTCGACAACAAGTCAAGGATCTCTGTGCTGGAAACTACGCCGACTAATACCGAACTGTTGCGCTTCAAGGCTACCGATAACGATCTCGGACCCAACAGCGAATTGGCGTTTGCTATATCGGCCGGCAATAAGAGGGATACATTTTACATCGATCCGCTGACTGGTATCCTGTATCTGAGGAAGCCACTTGATTACGAGGAGCTGGTACGTTACACGCTTAACGTCACATGTAGTGATGGCGGTCATCCGCGGCTCAGCTCGGTCACTAGCCTGACCGTCGAGGTGATTGACACCAATGATAATCCACCGGTGTTTCCGAACACGGCAATAGTGCGTCAGATACGCGAGGGTATCCTTGTGCGAACGCCGATTGTCACCATTACCGCCGAGGATCCGGATTCGGGCGACAACGGTGTGGTCACTTACTCGATTCTCAGCCAAGACCCGGAGGATCAGGTGCGGCGTTTCGGTATCAATCCGTCGAGCGGCGTGATCCATACGCTCCTTCCGATCGATCGCGAAGAAGTGGACACCTTCAAGTTAGTGGTGGTCGCTACCGATCAAGCGCAACCACCGAGCGCACGGTTATCTGCCGAGAAACTAGTAATCGTGATCGTCGAGGATGTCAACGATAACGCACCGATCTTCATTAGCATGTCGGCAGTGGTGCTACCGCCTCTGCGCGCCGGCAATTTCAACTATCATCAGTCCTCGACTAAAGATATTCTGGTTACTCAGCTGGTTGCTCGTGATCTCGACTCCAGCACCAACGGCTTGGTGACATACGAGCTGCTTCGTTCCAGCGTTAATTATTCGGATATGTTTCGAATTTATCGTAGCACCGGTCAACTCATCATGAGACTTCCGCGGTTATCTTCAAAAAGTAGTCTTCTCGAACGAGCCTCCTCCAAATATCAGGTGGGCGTTCGAGCGACGGACGAGGCGGTCCAGGCGGAACGCCGCTCGTCCGAAACTTACGTGACCTTGATCGTGCCGGGCGAGGACGGCGACGATCAGCCGATTTGGGAACATCGGGGTCAGATCGAAGGCAACGTTTACGAAAACGAGCCGGTCGGTACCAGTATTTTGCGCGTGAGTGCGCGTAGCCGTCGATCCAACATCGAGCTCGAATATTATGTGACGAATGTGACCGCCGGCGACGGGTCCCAAGTTGATCGTCTGTTCGACATCGACACGAAGACTGGCGTGCTGTCCACCGCGGCCCAGCTTGATCGCGAAACCGGTGTTCAGTGGTACGAGGTGGAGCTATATGCCATCGGCATCGGCGGCACCAGACCCAGTACGACGTCCACCAAAGTGAGTCCGCGCCGCTTGGCTTTTGATTGATCGTCCCGGTGATATTAATGATGCTTCCTTCGTCGGCTCCTGAAAGATATTCGGTGCTTTTTGTGCGCCGTGCCACTTTCCTCCGTCCCGCGCGCCCGTCCCGCGTAATGTAATTTTTCGATTGCCGGATAAGACCCTTTTTCGCGAGGCGGGCGAGCGAATCGCCGTACAAGTCCGGATTGTCGTTTGCGATGTGATATATATATGTATAGAAAGGAAAAATTATTATAATGTTTGTTTAAAAATCCGTGTGTACAAGACTGCAGTATAAATTAATTTGTATGGAACTTGACGAGAATGACGCATAAATTCGAAAATATATACAAAAGATTTGATTTCCCTGTTTCAAGTTTCAGTATTTTTGTTTCACTGTTATAATTAAATAGACAGCAAACAGATTTGTAAAATATAGATAATAAGTTTATAACGTATTGGACTTTGAAAGAAACTCTTTATTAAGTCGGATGTAGTCGCGTACGTGTGTAATTTTCGAGCAAGTTGATAAAAGTCATTTTTTCAAATATTGACGTTATTGATGAGAAAAATAAATATTATATACATGTTTGTAAATTTTACTAAAAAAATCTCCCCATTCATTATACAATTCTTATAAATGAAAACAAAACAAAAAAAATAATTTACAATTCAATTTTTGAAGATGATACGAGTTTTCTTTAAATTATAATTTATACACAAAAAATAGACAAAATTAAAAAATAACTTTTTACTATTTTATCAATTTATATTTTTATTAATTTTTCTCCGTATATCATGGAAAAAGACAATCCAAAATTTACTTACGATACAATATTATTATCACAAAAATTATATGAATTTTGAACATTTTATCTTTAATCTTAATTTCATTCATCTTTTTTCTCAATGCTATTTTTTCGTTCATCAATTTCTCTTTCTCGCTCTTGATGACACAATAATTAGAGCGGCAACGTGCACGCGTCGCGTGTCTTTCTTTCACCAGACGAGCGATAATTCGAACTGAGAATTGCGTTACGCAACAATACCTTTAATGCAATTAAAGTCGGCGATAGAATGATATACAGAGGAATAAAAGGAGCGATAGAGAACGAGAGAAAAAGAGACAGAAAGAGAGAAGGAGTGAAGGGTAGCGAGGAAAAGAGGAATCTTCAGAGATGAGAAGCGATGGATGGACAACACACGCGCGGGAAGAAGGATGTGCTGTTCTCGCGGTAGGGAGAGAAAGAGGATGTGGAGGAGGTGGTGGAGGAAGAAGAAGATCGTGAATACGAACGGTTTACAGCCGGTTCAGTGCTGCATAAATAGGGTTTAGGACCCGAGACGTTTTCTCAAATTACAGGGCGCGTTTCAAATTTATACGAAAGCACCGCGCCGCACCGCCACCGCCATCGCCACCACCGCCACCGTCGCCGTCTGGCCTCGTTTTATTAGAACGAAGCATATCCTAATTAATTCGAGCTTTTTTACTCCGCACTTGTATAGGGTGTCTCACAATTCGCAATCTTATAATATTTATTTAACAATTTAACAATAAAATTGGAGAATTAACAGTTTGTGAAAATGCTGAAGTATTAACGATTCTGAGAAAGAGGAAGAAATCGAAGGGATGGAGAGAGGGAGGAAGGGAGGAAGGAAGGGAGGGAGGGAGGGAGGGAAGGGGGAGAGAGAGAGAGAGAGAGTAGTTTATGACTTAATTAGAAAAATAAGTGAATAAAACTGCATATCTCGGCAATTTATTTTATTACAATTTTAATAAGAAAATCGGAATTTGTCTTATCTTATATATCAAAATAAAATTATATTTTTTATTAATGTATTAATTGTACATTCTGAAATTTATTAGAGAAACCGTTCATGCACTTGTCAAATAATCTTAGCATATTTTATTATTAAAAAAATAAAAGAATAATATTTTTTAATTGTTAAACGCATAAGATAAATTTTTTATTTCTCATGATTTCTTGATCTTTTTTTAACAATGTTTAATTCAAATTTATAGAATTTATTAAATTAATTTTTAATACAGTGCTTTAAACTTTGATTAGAGAGTGAGATTGCGTGAGTTTGAGAATTAATTGCAGTAATGTATAACTGTTTTATTTGACTTTTATCTTGCTCAAGGTATTGTCTATAGAAAATTGAGAATATCAAAATCGGCGATACCCACGTGATATCAATATCCCATCTGCGCTTTAGTCCTGGTAGATAACGAAAGACGAGGGGAAGGAGAGACGGTAAGAAGAGAAAGAGAGAAAGAAAGAAAGAGAGAGTGGGAAAGGAATAAACGATAAGATGAACCGCGTGCCAGGAAATCAACTCGGATTCGAGTTCGGGCCCCTGGTTTCTCTCTCCTCACTCTCTCGGTGGTTCGAAGACTCGAGAAAAACTTGATCTCGGACGAGCGGGCGCAGCCCTTACCTCCACGCGCGCGCGCCGCAGCCTTAGGACCGTTGAGAAGCGCGCAGTCGGTCCCATCTCTACCCCCGGTGTGCGCCAACGCCGCTTTATTTCTGAAGATCCTTTCCTCTGCCCCACCTCTGTCCTTCCCTACTCCTCTCTCAAACCACCTCAAACCGTCGCCTTTGGCTTCTCCTCGTCTCTTCGTCTTCATCCACACGTTTATCTCTCTTCTTCTTAAATTTAATCCTTTATTTGGTAATGTTGCTTTCAAGAAACATGATTCTTTTATATTATACTTCATTTACCGTCTTTTGTTATTATGAAGTTCCAATTGATGTTGCTGTCAAGGTAACAAACAAAGAATTGCTTTCTCTTAGTTTAAAAAACAGTTTGTAAAGGCTGACATCAGAAATATGGATAAATACGAAGGATTACAAATATTATTCTTTGATCCTTTTTGTTAAAGATCCTGTTTTTAATCGTAATGTGAAAAACTGTTTGTTAGCTTTGATCCTATCCAAATAAAGTATCAGAATCATAAATAAGATCAATTTATAATCTACATTTACGTATACATACATAGTAGTTATTATAGTGATTATTAATTTGTGAAACTTAATAAAAAAAATTAAATTTCCGATAAAAACTTTTTAATAATTTAATAATGTTTTCTCAAAAAGTAATAATTTTAACAAATTATATGCACAATTTATATCAATAGAGCACATTACATTATTTATATAAATTATTCTACATTCTTAAATACTCAGTTCCGGTACATGTAATAAATAGCATCTTCTTCCCATTTCTATCTTTATTTCTCTCCCTTTCTCTCTCGTTGTATCTTTTTCTCTTCGCACCTTCGTCGTTCCACTCGCTATAGAATCCGCGATTCTTCGGGAATCGCCGAACGTTTTTGTTTCGTTTTCGGAGTCCGTTCTTTTCTGGTTCCGCGCTCTGTTTTCGGGGCTTCTCCGGGGCCAAGGGTTCGGATCCAGGCCGCTTCTCCCCCGCGCCCTCTTACGGGCTGTCCTCTTTTTCATTGCGCGAACGGCATCATCGGGCCTCGTCCCCGTCGACGGCTTTTTGCTCGGTCCCCGAAGATCACGACGGGGTTGTGAAGACGGCATACGGAGTCATACTGTCGAAACGCTCAAGCACGCCCTTTGTCTAACCCTTTGTGCGACGGCACTTCTGTCTGCGAAGGCCGCGCTTCCCACGAAGCGTGACTTCAATTATCGCGCAATGGGGTTCGCGTCTGGGTCCAGAGACGTACGGCGAAGTATATATCCCGCGATGCCGCCGTGCCGATGACTTCAACGCACGTGTGTACAGCATTCGTGCCTGAAGTCCCCCGTAACGCAATAATTTTCTGCTCGCGCCGGATACTCGACTTCGAGAGCCATTAAATATACAGGGTGTTCCAGAATTCTACCGGTTGTTCTGCTAATCGCAATTTTCTATCTACTTTGGAAATGACTTTTACCTCACGTCTATTCTTTATTTGACGCGTGCATTTTCAAAAACAAGCAGGAAGTTGAATTAAATGGATAAAGCTCCTTGAAATTATCTTAAATTATTATTTTTATTATCTGTTATTATTTGTTCTACCTTGAACTTCACCATTATTTTCAATGTTTTTTTACTTAGAATTATTTAAAATTTACAGATATTATTGTTAAAGGAAATTAACAGTAAAAAGAACTTTGAATACAGAATAAAAATAATGTATAATTTCGCAAGATTTCTTTTAAAATCGACAAAGACAATCGCGATATATCACAGCTGCGTAGTTCAGAATCAGTTAAGAAGTTAGTTAAAGCCACATACTACCACGCGTTTGTTGCGGTCGAATCGGAACGTCGACAAGGAGTAAGTGGCACGTCGTTTGATTTAAGGAAGTGGTTGCGAACGTGATGTTAACGTATGTCATGAAGGTGTGAGATTCGAATCGCTAACCCACACGTCCGTCCTCGCGGCCATGGGTGGGTTCCGCGCGAAATGTAGGCGTGATACTTATTTTTCCAGCCGATAAATTTATCTGTAGACGGGACGGAACGAACGAACGAATGAACGAACGAACGAACGAACGAACGAATGAACATAATGTCGGCGCTAACATACGCGCGCGAGAGCGGGAGCGTCTAATAATAGCCGGCAATAATTACGTCGGCCGTCGTGATTAATAATGCACGGTTAAACGCGTTAAACCCCGCAATTAACTCTTTCTATTTCGCGGTCTCGCGCGGCTGTTACGCGATCGCTTCGGTGTGTTTGCAGATTATTTGTTATCTGTTACCATTGCGCGAGAGCGATGCGAGAGTATAAACCACCCTTGTACGACGCTGCTCATAAAATGACAGTTCAGATATATCGTCATTTAAAAGTCTTAATTAAGAGTTTCTCTTATATTAAAGATTGTTGATAGAAATTAAAGCAAAATTGAACTGAATTACATGAAGTTTAGAAAAGACGAAGTCATATATTGAATTTTTATTGATAAAAATGGTCAAAAGGGAGACTTTTTTCTTTTATTAATTTTGTTTTTAACATTTCGATATATTTCTTTTTAC